CGACTTATGAGCCAGAAATGGCCATTCCAGTCTCTCTTGTCTTCGCCGGAAATACTATCTGCCTACTTCCAAAGTGATAAAAGTTGTAGTGTGCTGAGTTGCTGAACAAACACCAATTTACCCGCATCCGAGGGGGAAGCGAAGGACGGAGACATTTGAAGTTCTTTACTATATCGGTTACTGGAGCCAATTAACAAGTTAAGGGGACTCGATATGACGAGTAACCCTATTTGTAAAGCAAGGTATCGAGTGCGGCCATGGCTGTCCTAGGCGCGATCAGGCGATTTTTATATGGCTTTTCTTTTCCCTGCTACAGAGAGTATATGATCATGGTTTTTAAAAGGATGGCGCAAATGAACTGTGTGCCAAGTGTGTGGAGAGCACTTTTGCTAACGGCCTAGCTTTGTTTTTGCAACCCCACCGTCAGCTAACAGAACCTGCCCTCTGTTAACGAGGCGCACGCGAAACATGCCGCGGAGGGGGGAGGGTGACCTTGACCAGCCGCCGTCATTCGACAATAAACGAAAATGGACGCGAATAGGAACCAATTGGCATCCGATCTCGTCTTGATTGGTTCGCTCGTGCAACGGAAAATCCACAGGACGCCGTCTGGGTATGATGAAATACGACTGTCAGCGTGCGAAGGGCAAACTTTGCCCTAGCGATTTACTGGCCGTGCGTGAAACCAAACACTTCATATATGCGTCGACTTTCGGCGTAAAAATAGAATTATGACTCTTGGCAGCCACTTTCAGATTTTGTTGCATAGAAAAAGTGTGCGCTGGTGACCAATACAGTGAAAAGAATGACGCCTGCTACTGAATGCAGGTGAGTAAGCCAGATTTCGCTCGCGAGTTTTGGCAGTCTAAGAGCTCATGGCAAAGTTGAAAAAAATAGAAACCTTCAGTTCGCTTGTGAGCGGTGGATACGAGGGACGTTGATAGGTAGGCAGTGACAAGGTGAGGGCTCGAACAAGAAAAAAAGAAAGGTCGTGTAGCTTTCTTAACCACTGCGCTCGGGTCCACATTCGGTCGCCTTAATTTTTCTTTCTAAAAGAAAATGTTGGTCTTGGGAGGATTGTGAGGAAGATGCTTAGCAATTCTACCTCACTGCAAGCCAATTCACGCGCAAATGACCGCAAATGACTCATCTATCTCATAGGACAGCGGTAACGACAGCTGGACTGTCATACGTTGGATTAATATTATGGGCTGAGAGTTGGTACGCCAACTGCCCTATAAAATTCCGCAAAGCCTGATGAAGATGCTGTGACATAGTGACCGTGGACCGCCACTAGATTAATTTTCTGTTCATCACTGTCTCGTGGTTTGGTCATTGAGCCAAAGCGTTAGAACAGACTATCTCGAACAAACAATCCAAATGACCTTTAGGGACCTGTCTGTACTTAAAAGCGCAAAGAAACCTCATGAAAGTGTTCCAACACAATGTCCCACAAACATCAAACAACAGCCATACAGACAGGTTACATCCTAGTTGGTTCAAAGTTCCGCACCTGAGCTTACAATAACAGACCAAAACGTGGTACTTAAACGGGTAACGGCCATGATTTGGACCATGTTCTCATCCACACATGCCCGAATTTTTACCTCTCAACCGAACCTAATCTATCTCATGTCAGATGCCCTGATGACGCAAAACTACGAAAAGCCAGCACCGTTGCGGTCATGGACACAGAAATCGGAACTTGTTTGGGGACT